AAATCGGACATGTGAGATGACCAATTGATCATACCACGACTTAACGAATATTTATATGTTGATTATGACAAATTATGCAACAACAATAAAAAGTTAAGAAATAACTTATTCATTTATAAAACCGACTTTGCTACTCGAGCAATGGGTATACAAGTATATGATTAATAGCGTAATTTTCCTATTAAATAAAATATTATGCTCAAAGCTGGTCCATCGTACTTCCAAATGTATTTGACTTGGGATAGAATTTGATATTTTTAGAAGAATAAGCACGCCTTGCCCGCTAAAATCGTGCCCACACGACTCCTACAACCAAGGAACACCTTAAACAGCAACTCCATTGACCACCCCACCCTCTCTAATTTTTCAAATTTGCCAATGTTTCGAATGGAATGACCAAAATCACCAGCTCCATACAAACCTGCAGCCTTGGGAAAATTTCAGTGGTGGAAAGAAGAATAAGGCTTTCATTCCTGTTCGACGTCGACTTCGCATGAAATGGGTCAAAGACGCGACTAAGAATAAGGCCTTCATTATCCTTCTTTTTTCCCCTTCATTTCTTGATTCAGGTGGGCTTCATGCACATGGTTCATTCTATGAGGAAACTGTGTCCGAATTTGGACAAGGAAGATGGGCTGGAGACGGTGTTGGAGGTGCCAATACCGGAGGAGATGTTCAACAAAATGGGAAGCAACGCTGCCTTGAGGTGGAGGACTATGCGAAATCTGATGAAAGCTCAACGCGCCATTGACAGATCAGCGAACCATCCAGCGGCCACGTCGGGGAATGATCACTTTATGTTGTTGCTGAAACTTGTTGGATCAGCTTTTATACCTTATCAGGTCCAAACAGACCATGCTGTTACCTTGCCTGTAAAGGATGGTTCTATTGTAAGCATACCCTTTCATCTTTATGGCTGTGTTCTCAATGAATTTATGGTCGACTACATGCATCGTTTTTCTTCATTTTATTCGAATTATCATTTGCAAGAACAACTTTTCAACGTTTGTTATGGTATAGGTATCCGATAAAATCATGGGTTCAATCTTTTGTTAACAATCCATATCCAAGATTATTATCAACCCTTCAATTTTCGCTATGGCTACTTGTCTACCACTCTTAAAAATATGAGCATATTTTCTCCGTCTCCAAGATATCTTCTTGATTTCCCATTATCACTTTCATAAGAGTTTGACTATCATGCCTTTTTATAGCTACTACGGTCATTCTCGAATAAACCAGCTGTCTTAAAGTTTAAAATGCTAAAGAAGTTACACGTACATATCATTTAAAATTTATTTTCAACATGACCTCTCACTAGCAAGTTGAGTTCCCTTTCACCAAATGTTTGACATGCGACCAATTTTTATAAATTGGTGGCAATCATTCTTGAACTAAGTCATCTTTCCAAGTCCTCTTCAACATTAATTTATAAATTGGAATGGAAACACATTCATTTATTTCAAGTTCCTCTTCAACATTCTCTTTGTAATATTTAAATCTCGTCGGGACTTGGAAGTTACATCTCTTAGGAGTATAATTCACTTATAAATCCAAAACTGGGTTTAGCCTATTGGGAATAAACCCAAAAACTCAATGTTTAGCAATGTTTAGCCGATATGAGACTTTTGTTCGCACTTTTCCCAACCATTTTTATCGAGCTCTCCAGAACTAAAACTCTTGTTTTGTTTATCACAAAGGCAAAAATTAAGTGATTTGGCCAATACTTGAATTGAAAACTAGCTCGATTTCCACAACAAGCAATACGTACATATCTTGAATATTTTTGTTGGCATCACCAGGAAGCTTCGACTGCAAAATACATTGTGCAACAATATCTAGCAGCAACAGGAGGGCTAGCTTTAATCAATGCTGTAAACAGCATGTATGCTGTGGGGCAAGTAAAGATGGTTGTAGCATCAGACGTGGACCAAAATTCCCCTCAAAATGCAAAACGAAGCTGCGAAGCTGGTGGCTTCGTGCTATGGCAGAAGAACCCTGATCTGTGGTACTTAGAGCTGGTTGTCTCAGGCTGCAAAATAAGTGCTGGAAGCGATGGAAAAATAGGATGGAGCCAATCATCCTCCAATACAAGTGCTTCCAAAGGGCCTCCAAGACCTCTCCGAAGGTTCTTCCAGGTATGTTTGGTGTGTTGTACTCGATCGACAACACTCTATGTGATAATAGTGGAATTTGAATCTTCTTGATCTTTCTAAAGCGAGTTTGGCTGGACTTAACTAGAAGTTTCCTTGTAAGTGAATAGGTAATTTTAAAGACGAATTAGAGATATAGGAAACAAAATAAAATTTGTTGGGAAAAAGTAAAAATTACAGCATTGTGCTTTTTTTTCGTAGAACCTGATATCACAAGGTGTCAAGACGTTCGAATGCTAGTTAATGTATATGATTTCTTGCTAATTATTAAAGAAACAAATATTGTCTATAGTCATTCCTCACTAGACGAATACTTTTCGGATTGGTTTTTCGAAAGCATAAGCCCAGAAACACAATACACCATTGTAACTTAAATCCCTGGATTCGTTCCTGTTAACTTGAGCTGATATTTCTGATGTTTGTAGGGTTTGGATCCAAGATCAACGGCCAACTTATTCTTAAACGCAGTTTGCATTGGAGAAAAACCCATAAAAAATGAAGATTGTTTCATTCTCAAGCTTGAAACAACTTCAGACATTCTCAAAGCACAAAGCACAACCAACACAGAAATAGTCCACCACACAATGTGGGGATACTTCAGCCAAAGAACAGGCCTCCTCATACAATTTGAAGACACAAAATTGATACGAATGAAGGCCGCTAAGGACGGAGAAAGCGTGTTTTACGAGACGAGCATGGAATCCGTGCTCGACGACTATAGATACGTAGAAGGTATCAATATAGCACATAGTGGAAAATCATCTGCTACATTGTATAGATATGGAAAGACATTGAGCAGAAAGTGGAAGTTGGAAGAAACATGGAAAATTGAAGAGGTTGATTTTAACATTTGTGGGTTGTCTGTGGAGTACTTTTTGCCTCCAGCTGATGTCAGGAAGGAACAAGAAAATGAAGAACAAACAATTTGATATGTACTAGAGTTAATTTATGTTTTTTAATCTCTATTTTTAGAAATTTTAGGTGAATTTTGTTTGTATATAAAGGTAAATGGTAGATTTTCTACTTTGTTTATTTGACTCTTAAAGTTGTATTTACGTGCAATAATTGAAATTTGGTTTCAGAATCTCGTACTTCTTTTTCATGGAATGATAGCTTATTCTACTCTGTTTCAACAATTTTTTTTTTTTTTTTTTACTTTTTTCCATTTCTACAAATTGATGTAGGTACATGGCCAAAAAATATCAATTGGAATATCTTAAAACAGCCAATTATTTTGAAAATTAATTAGTCATTTTCTGTTTTTCTGCAATATAGAGCTTTAATTTGGATTACGAAAAAAGACAATTTAAAACTCATTTCTTATAGTTATTTTCTAGAGTTTAAAAATGATAGTTATTTTCTAGTATTATTTCTTTCAGTTTTAAAAGTTTTTATTTTTCATTTGAGGGAAGTTGAATCTATATCTTGTAGTAGTACATTTTCCTATTATTATAAAATCTTGAAATTTTGATTGAGGGAATAGAAAACATGAAATAATAATTAAAAAAAAATTAAATAGGGCTCCATTTGAAAGCACATTTGAAAAAAGAAAATCAAATTAACTGATTTTTGATAGTTAATCTTGTTTACGTCGAAAATTATATGAACAATATTCAAGCCAACTTAAAATGAAAATAAGAGTTTTTATTGATAACGACTTGCAAATTATAATTATAACTACAAGTGTACACTCTTTTTCCTCAAGGAGATATTTGAAGTATAAAGTGTTTTGAGTCTTTTTCTTCCCCTCCTCCTCTAAGACTCTCATTCTTTCTTTTATAGGGAATAGTTAACATGGATTCATCATTTCCTTGTCTTATCAGCTACAGTATCGAGTTGAGAAAGTACATCATTGGCATGTTTGAATTGGTTAATGAGTTCGACCTATCAGGTCATCATGAGTTAACCTTACATATGGTCCCCAACAATTAATGAGTTACTTAGGGAAGGAAGCTAAAACATAGTATTAGTCCAATTGGCGGGCGCTGACGTAGGGTCTTCTATATGTGACCCGTAAATTGGGGGTTTGTATAATATGTAAGAAACCTTCAATCATAAACTACATAAATCGAGCTGACCTCACATATCCGAACTCATATTAGTATGAGCTTAATGCATATACCCAATTGTATTTAATGACCTCAGAGGTCGGGCGCCAACAGTTACCCTCCAG